AGCGGTTGTGTTGACAAATTGTTCTTTGCTGTCCATTTTCGTAATAAAGACTCATAGAATTATAACTCCAATCTAGCATTGTGAGTTTGGTCCCATTTGAAGTGAGTGATGGTCCCATTTGGATTAATGTGCAGTGCCCTAAGCAAGTAGGAGCAATGGAGTGTGGTTATTTTGTTATGAAGTATATGAAAGATATCGTATCAGACGTCAAACTGTTGAAGCAAAATGTGAGTCATTTTGGAATTTTTGTTTGATCACTTCGATCTGTATTCTCAAATAAATGCTAATATAACTTTTAATTTTTTATTGAAGTTCTCTAAAATAAAGGAGTACACTGATGGTGATATTTTGGGAATACGTGAGGAGTGGGCTTCATATGCATCTACTTTGATAAGAAGTAAGTTTATAGTTCAAAACTTAAGAATATAAGTTTGATATTATATGGATGTTAATTAGGCGTACTTATGAAGTTTTATACAATGTATGAAAATGGTATGAGCTGGAAACATGAGCTGTAAACATGTTAATTAGTACTACGAAGGTTTATCATGTATTTCAAGAGATCAGAGAGAATTTCATCCAGATGTCAAGCAGTTTTAGTGGAATGAGATGTCAAATAAAACTTATGTGTTTCATGGATCTGATCGATAACAGGATGTACCTATGATGCATAAGTAGTATTGCTATGTGTTTGTATGGGTGATTTTTATTGTTTGTATCATTAATAAGGTGTATCAATCATTTTTCAGTGTTGATAGATGCCGCTGCTATGAAGACTTACTGAAGTGAAGGCGATGTTTAATTCTGAATTGTTATTCGCGTTGTGTAATAGATTTTGCTATATTTATTTAGGGGGTGTAGGCGGCCGGCTCACTTTTTGGAAACTTTTTGGAACTAAACTGTGTAGTTGCCTAGAATTCTATGAACTCGGTTGTAAAATGATCACTTGGGTGTTGGATGTTGCTGGATTTTTTGTCATGTTTTGTCCAGGCTCCAGCAGAGTATTTTCTGATTTTGCATACCTAGAATGCAATCTTCAACTACAATGTAGCTTTAGGTTTGAAATGAATATTGTACTTTAAACGTTCAATCTATGATTTCAGATTTTCAGATTTATTGATTTTGTTATCGTTTATGGGTTTATTGAATATTGAATTGGAATTTCTAAAATATAATTGATTTGGAATTTTTAAAATTATATTGTTTGGAATGCTGAAACAATACAAAACAAAGTGATACTAAAGTGTCACTAACTTATCATTTTTCTTGGATGGAAAACAGAATTATGTGATACCATGGTGTCATTAGCATGTGTGATGTAGAAGTGTCGCTGAATGGTTGTGTCGCATATGTATCACTAATTGCTGATACTACGGTGTCATAATTTAGTGACACTTTTTTAGTGTCACTAGCCCCCACCTTCAGCGACACTTTTTTAGTGTCACAGAAGCCTGTTAGTGACACTAATTTGGTGTCACTGTAAGGCATTTTTCTAGTAGTGCCACCTGGCGCTGGTGCCCTGGTGGAGATTCACCCTGCCGGCTTGGCGGTGAGAGCCTTGGCTGACGCAGGGGTTGCTGTTGTTGGCGCGGCGGTGAAGCGCGCTGTTGCCTTGAGGGAGAAGGCATCTGCTGGTGGCGTGGGGGCGAATCTAGGAGAATGATTGCCCCCTAGCCTCTCCAAAGCGGGTACACACTCTGGAGTCCTTCTCCCAAGCTGTTGCTGCTGTTGCTGCCGGGGAATGTTGAGAACTGGGGAATTTGCCCGGTTAATCCCCCGGATGTTGACAGACAGGCGCTGATTCGCCATGGATCTGTCCCCCAATCTGGAGAAGATGGGACGCCTTCCCACTTCGATCTAGGGATTGAGGTTGTCGTCCTGTTGCTGGCACTGCGGGAAAGGGACTGTGAAGAGTCCTCAGTGGTGACAACATAGACACCTTCATCATTATGACAGCCGTAATTAACACGGCGTGCTGTGTATTTGGACGGCAATACGGGAGGTGGCGGTGGCGCCATCCTTCGTGGTGCCGCAGCGGGACGAGAACTCCCCGCCTGCTGTGCGAGGGGCGCAACGTTCAGAGGTGCTGCGGAAATCACCTGGCGGATCGGGGGAAAGTTAATCCCCGGAGTCGCCCTCTAGCGAGTGGGAGATTGATAGACCATCTGTGCTGGTCTCTCCACCACCAGAGGGGCATCAATAGAGCCTACTCTCAGAGACCAGGATCTGGAATTCGCCGGAGAGATAGGCCTAGTGGCATGAGGAGCCACAACAGCTGCTGGCTGAGATTGCAGCGTGGGGAGCACCTGCTGCAATCCCGAGATGAGGGTGCCAACCGCTGCAGAGGGATCCACCATGAGATGGTTCTGGAATTGTGGGATCACCTGTGCGGACGGCATTGCCGCTGCATCACGATTGAGCGAGATCTGTTGACGGAGATATGGGGAAGCACGCTGAATCTGACAGCGCAGATCCGCGGAAGTTTCAGCAACTTGTTTTCCCCAAGTGGCCCTCCTGGTGCCAGATGTGGCAGTAGCTTCCAGTGAGGGCTCCACCTGTGCAACGGTGGCAGCAACACGTCGACTTCTCAGAATTCTCTTTCTAGCCATTAGTGCAGAAAAACTTGCTGTAGATCTGGAGAGAATCGGGAGGATCTGACCTGATCACAGTTCGACTCTCAACGAGAGCACCAAAAATGATGGATTATCTGACCAGGGGTGGCCGGAATCCACCAAGAATGAGAATAATAGAGGAGAGCGAACTGATCAGAAAGTGCAGATACTGGACCCGACAAAAATGGCAGTAAGAGTATTGAGAGTGCGATTGATTAAGTATCAAACATCCATTTCCACAAGTTGGAAGGTGATATCTATACTAAGAGATATAAGGCAATACTTGGTGCCCAAGCAAAAAGATGCTAGTCTAATAGGAGAGAGACATGTGTAAAGCTACTCTAACAAACTAACATCCTAATTCGATGGGGAGCAGCCATGTGTAAAGCTGAATGGAGAGAGAATCTTCAATTGCTGGCTGATTGGAGTTTGCTTCTAACAGAATTGCTGCCAGAAATCCCGTGTGGCCACGCGTGGGTAACCGAGAATATTCCCTGGTGTTGATGGTGACGTGGCGACATCTCCTCATGAGGCAATTCCTTGCGGATTTTGTATATGTAATACTTGAGATTTAATTTAAACGGATTAATAGTACTACTCATACCAACAGAGGTGCATCTCCTTTTAAGGGAGCTCATCACCCAAGAACTCCAAAGTTAAGCGTGCTTGCACGGGAGTAGTCTTGGGATGGGTGACCCCTTGGGAAGTTTCTCAGGGCGCGCATGAGTGAGGACAAAGTGTGCGTTAAAGGCTCGTGGTGGTTTGTGGGGACAGTACTATTGGTCCGGAGTAACTACCTCGGGTCCGGTGGGGCCGGGGTGTTACAGTATAAGTCCATGATGCTTCACTCAGACCTTGGGGATTACTGAGATCGATATCTGGGAGCTCGGGCTCATGATGAGAGGACTTGTCCCTTTTTCTTCTGTTCCCGCCTTCGGGGTAGCTGTCTGCCTGGCGCTTGTTGACCATGTGTTTGACTCCCGGGGTCAGACCTGGTACCGAGCTCGGGTGTCTCGAGGTCGGGCTCATAAATGGCCGAGTCTAATCGATTCCTGAGCCTGGTATTTTCCTGACCTCGGTGATCGAGGTCGGGGTCGGACGACTTCTCGATACTTAGCTTATTTTGTTGACTGGCGCTTGTTCCTGACCCTAGGTGGTCGAGGTCGGGGTCGGTATAGTTGTGGACTTAGTCTTTTCGTGCACTCCGGAATGGGTCCGTGATGCTTTATACTGGCGATTATGATACCCCTGGGGTATACGGGAATATACTCCATCAGTAAGATTTCGATAAATACAAATAGCTCACTTCTCCAAATGAGGGTAAGAAAATATGAGTGCTCTTCATATTGGAGCATCTCCAAAAGAATTTGGGGATTTGGGTCGGCAAACATGAATCGATCTATGATATCAATGTCAAACAGAGAAGACAGACAAGAAGAGAAAAAAAGAAATAGAAAAGAAAAAGAAAAGAAAAGAAAAGAAAAAGAAAAAAAGAAGATAAAACGGATAAATAAAGATAAATAAATATAAGATAACAAAAAGAATAGCATCTCCAATGCAAATATGACAACGAAAATAAATTTTAATTAATAGAAATCTCTTAATGCAATAAGTATTTATTATTTTTTATTTACAATGTGAAAATCTAGACATTGTGTTTGACATTGTTAAAGTATTTATTCCATACTGGAAAACTATAAAACAATAAAATACTATATAAAATTTTTGACTACTCCTCATATTAAGTTGACCTTTTAGTATGAAACCTCATATCTTTCCATGGTATCAGAGTCAAGTTCAGTTGTGGTTTGACTGCTTGTTTAGCACACATTATTAAAGGTAGCTTTCAGAGTCTGTTTGCCCATTTATACACCTCGAGATTGTCCAACTCCGTTCGAGCTGAGGGAGTGTATAAAAATATTTGACTTATTTGGTTGAAATCTAAGATCTTAACGGATATTAAAAATAAAAAGTAATTGGAAATTTATTACGTATTGCAAAGAATGTGAGAGATTTTTTATCATTTCACTTTGATGTATCTATATTTCTCTCCGTCCATGCTGGCCCACTGGAGTTTTGGAGATGCTCTTATGAAAATTAAATGGTGGATCTTGTTTTGGTAAGTCTCACCTCTCCGAGGGACATCGAAAACTTGAAACTACATCGATTGCCTCACTACCATCTCTCTCGTTAGGACTTTCTAATCGCAAAGCTCCAATATCACTCCGAGGGCCAACCAGCGGCGGAACCAGAACTTTTTTCGAGCAGGTGCCGAGGAATGTATCAAATAAATACATCATAATAAATTTAGAAAAAAACACATATGATTGTCTAAATTAAGTGTCGTAAAGCTTAATGTTTACATATAAGTCCAAAACTAACTACTCTGGGAAATTAGGAGAGATAATTGTGTCCTGCGAGTTCGCATCTGTTGAAAGCGTTGCAAAATTACTTCATTTTCAATGGTTGCAAAAATCTCTTTCTCGATATATACAACCAAGCTATCATTCATCCATTCATCTCCCATCCTATTGCGCAAATCAGTCTTGATAATTTTCATAGCAGAGAAGACTCTTTCTACTGAAGCAGTTGCAACCGGTAAAATCAAAGCTAACTCAATAAGATGGTATACCAATGAAAAAAACCTTGTTCATTCCAATTTGAACCATTTGCTTGGCAAGACATCCGAAATCATCAACCGTAGAAAATTGATCATGATCCCGGACGGTATGAATATAAGTCTGAAGTTGTTGCTTGAGTAAAACACGATCAGTACATGAAAAGTCCTCCGGATAAAGTTCAGCCATGCGGAGTAATTTGTCAATGTCAAAATGACAAAAAGAGTTTCTTGGATCAAGACATGCAATACAACTCAACAACTCCGTACTTGCTTCAGGAAAACGATTGCTCATCTCTGAAATCATCTTATCAAGAACCTATCACACCATAAAGACAACATTATTGAGAAAAAGTATTATTATCAATTTATAATAAAAGAAGATGTAAAATAATTATACCTCACAAAATATTCCCCCACGAAAGTGGATCAAATTCGAAATTGTCTCTCCATTTCGCCTACTACGACCACGAACTTTCACATGTTCTTCCATATTAGATAATGGAATCTTTTGATTTTCACAAAAAAGATTCACTTCCTTGAAGAGATTATCCCATCCATTATCTCGAAATTCTTGTAACTGGGCCTTCATTGTACTAATCAAATGAATAGCCAAGACAATATTTTGATCTTTTTGTTGCAAGGCAAGAGACAATTCATTTGTGATTCCAAGTAGATATATCATCAAGTGCATCACAAATACAAATTCATAATTCTCCATCTTATCAATTAAACTTGAAGCTATTCCTCGCTCTTCATTAGCACCATCCTCATACACATTCTCAAGAGCTTTTAATACGGAACTCCACATAGACATCAAGCGAATAATAGTAATGTAATGTGATCCCCAACGAGTATCTCCTGACCTTTTCAAACTAACTTCTTGATTTTTCCCCTTGCCACTTACAATCTCCCCACTTTCCAAACTTTCTAGAAGCCTCTCATGTTCTATTTGTCTAAGTCTATCTCTTCTTTTACATGAAGCCCCGGTAACATTCACAATCATAGTGACATATTGAAAAAAGTCACACACAATTCTATTACACTTAGCAACAACAACAACAACTAGTTGGAGTTGGTGTGAAAAGCAATGGACATACCTTGCGGCTGAATTTTCTTTCAAGATGAGAGCGTTCAATCCATTATACTCACCTCGCATATTAGAAGCTCCATCGTATCCTTGACCTCTTAATCTTGATATTGACAATTTATGTTTTGCAAACAAGTCATCAATATAGTTCTTTAAAGAAAGCGCCGAAGTGTCATTGACATGCACCATAGCAAGAAAACGTTCAATGACATGTCCAAATTTGTTCACATATCTCACAACAACTCCCATTTGCTCCTTGATTGAGACGTCTCTAGATTCATCAACCATAAGAGTAAAAACTTTATCCCCTAAGTCTTCAAGAATAACTTTGGTAACTTCCACAGAACAAGCATTAGTTAGCTCCTTTTGGATTTTAGGAGATGTCATTAAATTATTCCCGGGAGCATTCTCATTCATTGTTTTGGCAACTTCTTTACTTCTTTGGGTATACCATTGAATTAATTCAAGGAAATTACCTTTATTCAGAGAATTCGAAGACTCATCATGACCACGAAAGGGAAAACCTTGTTTCAAAAGAAAACGTGTTACATCCAAAATCGCTGTTAAACGAATTCGATATGCAGCTTCTATTTCACGCCCTTGAGCACTTAGCAATTGTGATACACTTTGTCTTTGATTTTGAAAACCCTCAAGTTGTACTCTTGCATTATTATGAGCACTATCTACGTACATCACCAACATGTGTATTAAATGTTTCAAGTGCTTTCCTCCAATTACTAACCCCCACCTCAGTGAATGCCACTTCCCCAGCCCGACATCCTCTATTTGAATTTTTGAAGAGATAGCACCATAGACAAAAAGCGGCATCTTTTGATATGCTATATTCTAACCATGGATATTTTTCAAACAAAGAGGGTTGAAAACTTCTATAATCGGTCCCATATTTTTTACGAGGATAAACATGCCCAACCGGTTTACAAGGACCCTAGTTAAGTATTCTCGGCGGACAAGATCTCTACTCAAAGGATTAAAATCATTAATAGGTCTACGTAAACCTGGATCAGCAACCAAATCTTCGGGATTTAGTTTTGTCCTTTTATTTTCTTCAGAAGGACTTTTTGAAGACTTTCCATTCGGTATTAAGAATTTCAACATTCTTAACCTAACAAATTGTACAAGTGTACAACAATAAATTCATATATTAATAATTAATTAGCCTTGATTTATATGTAATCACTACATTCACTATTAAATTAACAACTAATAAGACAATTTAGTTAAAAAATGTATAATGAATTGCCAAAATTTTAATTTAAATAAAAAGGGGAAAAATAGAAAAATTGAAAATAGGACTATAGAAGTACCGGTCAAAGTGGCGGGCGACGAAAGAACGGCGGTGTCCGGCGTCCGGCGTCCGGCGATGTCCGCTGGTCACTTCGTTGGTTGCTTCTTGCTTGAGCTGCGCGCAGGGATGGAAGACCGAAGACGGAAAGCTGCGTGCTGAACTGCTGAAGCTTTTGGAATTTGGATTACCTCTAAATTCTAATTTGGTTTGGGACTTTGGGCAATGGGCTGCAGGCTGCTGGAGTGCTGGTCATTGGGCCTTCCTTGGCCCGATAGACCTTTTTTTCACAGCATAGACCCAAATTTTTAAAGGTCTGATTTTTTTCAACTCCCTTCTTCGGTTCTTCCCTATCCTCCAGCCGGCAACGACGATTAGCTAGCGACAGGTGAGCGGCGTGAGCAGTCCAGAGTCACAGAGCTCTCCGGAGTCTCCACCTCTCTGACTCCGAGTCTCCGGCAGTCCGGCTCAGCGGCTCTCCGGCGAAGGGAGAAGGGTGCTGGTAATGAAACTGCGGCAGGTGAGCAGGAGCGCCGGTAAACTATACATATATATATATATACACCTAGACTACTCCGGCGAAGGGGGAGCGCCGGCACCGGCTCGCCCCCCCCCCCCCCCCCCCCCCCCCCCCCCGGTCCGTCGCTGGGGCCAACCATAGTGTAATTAAATATTTGACCTCTCTAATTTAGTTGTCGGGTTAGTGTACTTCCTCTTTAAGGACTTGATTCATTTTTTATAAGATTAGGACTATATCATTAAACAAACGATTTAGAACACATAGATTTTAAAAGAAATAGTAAGTAAGGCCTTGGTAATTTAATTAAGGGAGCACTTTACAACATGTTTGTTAGGAATTTAATTTGGGATGATCTCCGTTCGGAGGTTCATCCTCATACTTTCCGAGTGTATGGGTGGTTGGTTGAGTCATTCCAAAAAAAATATGGGGAAGGAATCATGATTCATGAGACTGGCCTTAGCTTTTTCACAGGAGTTATGTTGGTTGGATTTGGATTAGCATGGGCCAGTCAGGTATGATATTGTTCAAGTACATTTCATATTTGTCAACGCAAGTCTTTGACCGTAATTATATCTTAATTCTATTAGTAAAAAAATATTAAAAATCAGATTTTGAAAATTTGTAATGAGATTAATTGAACAATATTTTTTTAAAAAATAAGTTTCATAAAATAATAGCATAAAATGTAGTCAAAGTAGAGCATGCGAATAGTATAAAATTCAACATGTTGCGATTAAAACAAAAAGGATGATAGTACTAGATAAAATTGAAGGAATATTTGTTTCTGGACCTCCGGTGTAGGTATCTTTAATGAAAAAATTCCACAAATGTTACTCTTTAAAATATGATGAACAAAAATATTACTCAGTAACTAATAGTGATTATAACTGTGTTCAAGTTTACATCATAGTAACTAAGTGTAAGTTACTGTGATTTAAACTGAACACAATTATAGGAATCAATAGTTACTAAGTTACATTTTTGCCTATGACATTTTTATTAGTACTCCCCTCGTTCCTAAATAAATTTCCAACTTTCCTTTTTCGTTCGTTCCAATTAAAACTTCCACTTTCCCTTTTTGTTAAAGAATTTGTGGTTCACAACATTTCTTACACATTTCTCTCTCCTCTGCACAACTCTCCACCACACAATATCCACTATCTTAAACTTTGTGCCAAACCCATTTGGAAGTTAAAATGGGAACGGAGGTAGTAGTATTTAAGGAAAAAGCTCATCTTTATTACTTATTAAATCTATAATTATTTCTAAACATAAAATATAAATTATTCAAATCTCATTATAAGAATAAGGAGGAAAATAAGAACATATTTTTAAAAGTGCATAGAGTGATAACGCATCAAATTCTCCAGGAAAGTTAGTAATATTTCTCTTAAATAATATGAAGTACTCCGTACCAAATCACATCCATCAACCAATAATACTTTGAAAATAATTTTCAATAAAACCAAATATTTGTGTAATAAAAGCAATTTCTGTCGATCGAGCACTGTCACAACGTATAATACAACAATTTAGAGGAAAAAGTTGATATCTTATTCGACAAGCTTATAAATCTTTTTCAAAATGAGTGAGCGTACGACTCCCTAACCATGTTAATCTCTTAGCGAGTGGTCCTAGATCCGATATCTAAAACCGTGAAAAATATGATCCTAGGTCTTGTCTCTAAACTAAGTCTCTCTTAAAATAGGGGTATACAAGCTATTTAAATAGAAATCGAAAAAGTGAGTGTACTTGGTCGCACATGGCATGCGGCCATCGTGCGCACCTCTCTGTGAGCAGTGTGCACACCTCCAATCCAACATTCCTCGTTGCAGATTATAGCGCACGGTGTGCGACTTGCGTGCACCTCGTGCACACTCCTTTGGTGGTGTTTCCCCTGTTTTTCTGCTCTTTGATTCTGCGTTTGATCTCGTGCTCGATTCTTGTAGTCGCACACCGTGTGCACCCCTTTGGTGGCGTCCCCCCCCCCCCCCCCCCCCCGTTTTTATGCTCTTTAAATCCACATTTGATCCCATGCTCGATTCTTGAACTATTTCTTCTTCAATTCATCCTCTTCGCATGTTGTAAGTCCTCTTCGCTTCTCCATTTACCTCGCAAGCGTCTCTAAATCTCAAATTAATCTCTCCAACGTCAGTGTCGGGTTCAATTTTCTGATTTCAGCTCTAAAAATACCAAATACAAACGAAAATCCGGCAAACCATAACTTGAGTTAAATTAGCATTTGGTGACTCATTTTAACTAGGGAAATTGTACAAAACTAATCACAACACACATTGATAGAGTATATGACTTGGACCCCCGGGTCTCACGACTATTGGGCCTGGACAACTGCCCACACACGCTCACTGGATGTCATTTGTATTATTGTGCAATTTACATATCATTGTATCTACTAGACTAGCCTTTTACGTAGTTATGCCTATTAGGCCCATATTAGCGGCCTGACCTGCTCTCTATATATACTCCCCTTGGAAGACTTGTAAACCCTAATTAATTCATTCAAAATTATACACATTCTTTTTCTTCACTTTTCTAGCTTAATCTCTCCGTTTATTATAGTTTGGATACCCCTATTAGCTATCACTTGGTGCGCTCAACCAGAGCACCAAATGATAGATCGTTTATACCTGGATACCACTAGTGGTATCTAGAGAGAAGTCGGAGCAATAAGTAAGAGAGAGAGAGAGAGTGTGTGGTAGTATTAAATAACCAATGGTCCGTTACAACTGCCCAATGAGCGCTATTTATGCTAGTCATAAATGCTAGGTGCATTAAATGCACATACACGTGTAAGCTAATCTATGGCGGAGAGATCCCGTGTGATGCGGGTGCTGGCACGTGGCGTGACATTAAATACGATGGTTGGGCATTGAGGAACGTTGGACAGAGAGGAGTTTGTGCCGAGACCAAGGCCTTCGGCAGTGGAGCCGAAAGCTGTATGACCGAGGGCTGGTGTGAGGAAGCGAATCTCAACGGCCTGTCGTTGGACCAAAACGGGTTGATTCCCTTGAGTTTGAGTCCCTCGGCTTTGGTGCCGAAGGCGGGCCCTTGTAAGGTGTGGGCTGCGTCATATTCGGGCTGCTGTATCTGGGTCGCCTATGTCCGTTGGGCCTATTCCTTGTAGCAGGATTATGTGGGTCGGGGGTTCCCGAGCTATATACTCCATCACACATAAAATGTATGTTGAAATACGGCATTGGTAAACTGCCCCACACTTAAAACTTTGCATATCCTCAAGCACACTAAATCTTGGGCCAAACCAAATTACCGCATGACATCAACGAACGCTAGCATGTGCATGGCTAAACAACTTCTTTATTCCTTGAATAAGACAAATGATAAGGATAATTACAACATTTTTGAAGTCAATGCAATACACACAATTAATCTTATTCCTGGTCAGAAGCATTCCTGATCAGAAGCAACCAAACATTGCAGCCCAGCTAGTTGTGAGGTTACCGTGCTTAGTGAGAGGTCTCGAGTTCGAAACCCGCTAGGCACATAAGGGTTTGAAACTCAATGGAGTGAGTTTCAGTCCTGATTACTTCAACCCCCCCCCCCCTAGGCCCCCTTCCCCAGATGCCCCTTGGAGTAAAAAAATCCTGATCAGACGCACTTGTGAAGGTTATGGAGAATGCTGAACAAGCATTTATTTCTTTGAAAGATCAGAAAAACCTGATAACGGTTTAATACTATTTCTAGGAAAAGAGAATTCAATAAGACACTTAGCGGGAACTATCATCTATCCTATGCAAGAAGAAAACATGGTGCAAACTAAGTTAACCTGTGGTTGCACATTGGTGCTTTGACATACACTTGATGTACATGAAAAACTAATGATAAAATGCAAAAGTGTTGAATCCAATTGAGCTTTCGTTTTATTTTCCTTGTCATGTTGGCTCGAGAACTTCGTTTCTTTCGAAAGACCTCCAAGTCTCATCTTATTGTGTAAAGAAGTACGCTATTTGACTAGTAAGAGGTCTAACTGAATAATTATTTTTGTTTTAATTTATTTTAATTTTGTTAGACATTACCTCATTCTAATCTCGACCTCACCGAGAAAAGTTTAAATTACAGTAAATTAAATAAGTGAGACACTGTC